TTTATGATAACAGCAACATGACCAACATGTCAGACTAACAATCAACATATACCAAACCGAACCGAAAACCATAACCATGAAACCGTGAACCGAACCATGGATTTTGTGAACCGTTCCACCCCTAATCGATACATATATGAACTTCATACCATCAGTACAAATCCTACATGCTTTTATTACTCATTTTGTAGTATGGGGTGTTAGCAAAAGATAGTTCAAGTGACATTACTCAAACGGAGAACAACAGTAAAAAAAAAAATAGAGCACAACAGATCCATGTTTTATTAACCAATTGGTCACTTAAACTTTACACAGATTTTGGATGTAAATGTATTACTTGACAAACCCCATCTCCTTTTTCTAGATAATTTGAACACAAACCTATACAACAAACCTTGCATGAATAAAAGTAACCAGATTTTTATGCAACTCAAACGATTACTATATAAACTTTATATACTCCATTAGAATTAATTATGATTAATTATACTTTATTAATTCTAAATACATAAACCAGACATGTATTTCAATCAAGTTAACTTTATTAATTGAATTAATATGAATGATTTCAGGTTATTTTAATAGGATTGTGTTAAAATTATCTTAACAAAGTCGATGGGACTTTATGTAAATACATAAATCTTAAAATATCTGCTGGTGGGATTTCTGATATCATTATTAGATCAGGAAACCCCCTAATTGCAAAATAACAAAAAGGTCACAAAAATATTAATAAGAATATTTGTATTTTTAGAACTGAGATGTGAATCGGGATTAATAAGCACTTTTAATTACAAGAAAAATCGGATTTTCGGCTTAGTCTTTCTTTTATTAGAGCATCTATCCCTTAATTCAGAGAGGAAATACATGAGACACACAAAGAGGCTGTGCTGCATGATTAGAGGATTCTGCCCCCCATCCCCCCCCATGCTCTATACTTAATCAAAATTTTGATCAAAAGCTGTTTGATTTCATCAGCATTGTACTACAGTGTGTTGCAGCCTCATTACTTTGATTGGTGTGTCGATTTTTCAGGTGATTAGATTTTTATTCCAAAGCTGACTTGACCGTTAGGTGGTCTGTTAGGCATATCAATAATGATATAACCTTCGTTAGAAAAAGAAAGAAAGAAAAGAGAACATTCCAGGTTCAAGAACTGATTTAATCGTACTGATGTTTTCATTAATATTCCATCATTCTTTGTCTTTAGCTACATTATGCTGAGTCTATTTTGAGTCTGAGTCTATTTTGCTCATAACTCATTTGATTTTAATGAAGCATTATTATATAAGCCAATCAATGGGCAGTAAATGAACAAATCCCCCCACGTTTTCCTCCACCTTTCGGGATTTTTACATAATTGTTCGATGCATTCTCCTACATGCTTTAAATAGTGATATCCATTAGAGGTTTATCCAGCAGTGGCGAGGGAGCTTCTGGGAGCTCTTGTGGGTGAGCACCTCACGTTTCCCCTTGACAGCATTTCACAACTCGGCCAGCAGCTGTGACAGGTAAAGGTCAGGGAGAGAGGAAACGTGCGATTCCAGGGAATATGTGGGATTCAACTCCCACTCATTACCGGGTCCCAGCTCTCACCGCAGAGATTTTATACCTTTCTTTTTCTCCAATTTGAATCCCATCTGCAGACAGGAGAGAAACTATGTAGAGACTGAACAGGAAGTGGCTTTAAACTGTTACCGGTAGTCCTTTTCCCATTTTTCTTCCTACGTTTTCTTTTAGATCAGTTTTTGAGTTGATCTTTCATTTTTTTTTCAACTAATTCATCAAAAGGTTTCTCTTTTCTGATGCTCTAAGCATTGAAGTCATTAAAACCAAAATATAAATAATGAAATTGAATCTTCTTTTCCAAATTGGCTCTCTGTCCTTGTCAGAAGTTTAAGAAACAGATTAATTGAAACCCTAACTGAAGTGCAGCCCTGAGTTCAGTGACAGGAGCAAATGGGAGCGCTGTGGGAGGAGCTATTTTTGTTGAGCTAAACCGTAACTTTACTTTTAAAATCTCAAAGCTGGCAAATGATCAACTCATTTCTGTATTTATAAGAAAACCAAAGAACTACATTTTAGTAAAAAAAAAAAAAAGCACCTTTCTGACTTATTCTTCGAGATACAAATGTTTTGTTCTGCAGAAAACTGCTGTGGTTTCTATTTAAGTCATTTTGAGTCTATCAAAAATGAAGGAAATAAAGGGTTTCTGTGTTCATGCGTCAAAGCATGATACATGGCTTTAGCTGTTGTTGGATTTTTATTAAACAAAGAAGAGTAGGAATATGTGACATCATCCACATGATATTGGTATTGGCCAATATTATCTATAAGAACTATCAGACATTCCATAAATATAAGGCACTGTTATTGTGGAAAAAAGTTGCAATTATGCCTGCAACACCAGCGAGCCCCTTGCATCCCCCTGATGAGTTCATCACGGCAGCGATGAGCATGTCTGAAGGGTTTTTAAAGTTTCAGAAACAGATATGCCAACTGCTATTTGCAATCATTGTGCAGCGTCGCTGATATGAGGAGGAAATTTGAACGTTAATTAATGACCATAAGAGCCTCTGTCCAACTTTAAAATGAATTTATGCTAACCAGGAAAAGAAAAAGAAAGCAACTGATCAAACCAGCAAAGTTATTCGTAGACCTCGGCGTGTGCAGGAGCTCGTGGAGTGATGCCTGACGCTTGTGCTTTGCTGGTCACAGCGCTTTTGATTGGGACGTAAATAGTCTTTTAGAGTGAGCGGTACACGCACCATGTCCAGCTCAAAGGCCCATTACCAGCATTTCATGTGGCTATCTCTGACGCCATTGAGTAGTGCGTTGCTAAAAGCACTTGGGTTAGTTTTACCACAGACATTTAGACTTCAAATGTGAGCCCTGTTTGCAGACTAACCTTTACAACACAATGGATAAATGGAAACTTAGTGTCTGTAAGTTGATATTAGAGGGGAAAATCTGTATTGCTTATTAGTCAGTTGAGCTGTAAAATATCAGCGCTGTTGGCTGATGCTTTTATTGACCACCGGTGGTGGAAGATCTTGGCTTTAATACCAAACTGAATAGGTTAAACCAAACAGATTTTCATTATTTGATCTTCTGATTACCGATGTGAGCTGATCAAAGCAGATTGGACATTTCACCTAAAATATTGTTTGAAATGCACCCATTCCCACACACTGATAGCAGGAAGCTAGGTTGTAACCAAGGACATGATAACTGAGACAGACCGAGCTGGACTTACTCCTGCATCCTACGCCACCATTGCTCCATTACTGTTCATGTCACGGTTTTATACTAGAATTGTGTGTCTGGATAAAAGGAGAGGAGCATGAGGTGATGTTCCCATCATGTTTAGGGCCTACTGAAGCAGTTTGAATTTCTCATGCTCCACTAATCTGGAAAAAACTCCCAGAAAACTGTAAAAGTGCTGAAACTTTAAGCTGCTTTAAATCAAGATGAAACCCTACTTGTTTAGAGTGACCTTTGTGCTATCTTAACATTGTTAGTTAATTTTGTAGTCCAGGTTTCTTTCACTTTATTGCCTTTTTTTAATTATTTTAATTCTCTTTAATTACTTACATTGTTAAGAATGAGCTCTAAGTCACTGCAGTTTGTCTGTTTTTCTGTTATGTTTTTTTATCTCAAGTCCTTTAAATTGTCTAAAATGTGCTGTATAAATAATCTTTCCCTGCCTGAGGGGGTAGTAGAGCTGTGATCTAGGGTTGCTGGTTTTGCTCAGAACTCTGTTCAATGAGGGACCAGAGAATGAGGTCAGCTGACCACCTGGATAAACTGATTGACCAGGTCAAAATATCAGGGGATTTTCCTTTGTGGTTTTAGGGGAATATTCCAAGATAGCAACACAAGAACATAAGAAAAAAAGAAGCAGTCTGACTCTCAAAAATGTTTACAATATCTTTGAAAAGACATTGTTTATGTTGCAAAATCAGGAAGGCTTTGTAGCAAACCATAAGTATATATATATATATATATATATATATATATATATATATATATATATGGCACTTTGTTGCAGAAAAAAACTGTTTTTTAAAATCTGACTAATTAGTATTTTTTTCTGTAGTAGAAATATCTGGTATTTTAAACTGAACCTGAGCAGATTTAAGTGACAGGTCAGCGTGTAAATGTATGTTTCTCTCTCTTTATCCTCCAGTACCGGATCGGGCAGCTGTACATGATCAGTAAACACAGCCATGAGCAGAGCGATAGAGGAGAAGGGGTGGAGGTGGTCCAGAACGAACCCTTTGAAGACCCAGTTCATGGCCAAGGACAGTTCACAGAGAAACGAGTCTATCTCAACAGGTCGGTGCATCGAGCTCTTAGGTTGCTTCTAATGTGGATAATTCAGTGTGTTCGGGGAGTTTTTATTTTGGGCTAAAAATAGAGTTTTAGAAAACATTCTTAGTGGAGAAAAGGGCAGGGCAGAGAAGACTGAAACTATAGCAACAGGGAAATCTCAATAATTTGCATAAAATCCCAAAGAATTTGGCATCTTTATAGATCAGATTTCACTGAAGCTGGGTCACCAAAATGCCACTTTGCCAAATGGCCTGTACTTATGTAGGGCTTTTTCAAGTCAGAGGACTTGACCAAAGCGCTTTACACAACATTCACTCATTCACCCATTCATACACTGATGGTGGTGAGCTACATTGTAGCCACAGCTGCCCTGGGGCTCACTGAGAGAAGCGAGGCTGCCGTTCACTGGCACCACCAGACCCTCTGACCACCATCAGTAGACAATGGACACTGAAAGGCAGAGCCGGGGCTTGAACCGACAACCCTCCGATTGCAGGGCAATCTCCTACATCCAACACCACTGTCGCCCCAAATGTTTGCTTAATTTACCCTTTTTTATTGTAAATCCTTTTTACCCCATATATGATTCAGCTCCAGTTTTTGAATATTCATGTAAATCTTATTATCTGTCAGCGTATTACAATGAGTGATAAGGAATTTAATACTTGGAATAAGTAGTAACTGTGTACATTGGTTTGCAATTTGCACCGTTTAGTATATAATAAAACCAAATATGAGCTGTGGAAATATCTAAATGCATTTCCTTATAGGTTTTGATGATTTACTTAATCTATGTCTTGGACAAACATAAAGCTTCTGCTGTCAAATAAAACATTATATGAGGATAGAAAAAAAAATTAATTTTAAACCTTTTATGATTTATTCTTCAGTGTGCAGTTTACTTTTAATTTGGGTTAATTTTACATCTTTCATATTTAAGAAGCTATAAATGATGAAAATAATTTTCAGCATGCATTATATTATTAAAATCAATGCATAACCGGGGGGTTGTAAAAACGATGGGTATTTATCTCACCATTTAATATCTATTGCAGGGCACCCATTAGCCTCCTTAGACCTTCCATCAGACAGCTGATGTAACCCAGACAGTACAGACGAAGCAAAGGTAACAATCAGATTGATGAAATATAAAAGAAAAGGAAAGAATAGTCAGAAATATTATTAAAGGAGAGAAAATGAAAGGATGGAGAAGATTCTGCTGGCCATTTGTCTAAGCACTATTTCCTGTGTCAGCATTCACTGAGCTAGGAAGCCAATTATGCTGAGTCAGCATTCCTCTGCTCTGCAGAACAGGAGAAAGTGATTAAGGAATTTCTAGCAACTTGGCCTTTTGGAACAGCAACAAGAAACAGAATATTTTGGTTGGAACATAGACAACAAGAGAGCAAGCTCTGTCCAGAATTGTACATATGGAAAACCCTGACCCTAGTACTACAGGGTAACCATGCTAATTATACATTTAACCTGCAGGAGTTTTCACAATATTAAGATTGAAACCCTGTAGAGGAAAAAAAAAACCCTAATGCCATTTGTGAGACTGTAGCAACCTTTGTGTTTAAAGGTAGTGTCCTTTCCTTTAAAGAGCTGAAAACTAAAACCTAACAAGTTAATATTAATAAAGAATAGCTTTAAATTATTGATTAAATGGGACGATCAGCTGTTATGACAACCTCAAGTAAAAGCAGAACAAACTTTTAATGGAAAAAAAAAAAGGAAAAAGATTGATATATTGCAGCTGAGATGATAAATGCATGAAGCAGAAACACATTCTTAACCTCTTACACCCTAAGGGGGTATAAATAAATTTCTGCCTGACAAAAACACACAAAAGTAAATAACTTATAG